ACTCCAAATACCTGAAACTTAAGGGTTTTCATCAAATATTGAGACAAAATATGCATTTGAGGACACTAATTCTATCAAAATATAGCCCTAAATGAATCCAATTTATGGACTCATCATCAATCCTTAATTGCATGATTACAATTATAATTTCATATTTTCAATGATAACTTCATGAACCTATAGCATGAAAGTATTTTCATGACTCGGAATTATGTCATTTCATACGCATGTTTCAGATTTTCAAGATTTAGATGTTTTCAAATAAACTATCTTTCAGATTATTTTCTATTATCATGATTTAAGATGCTTTCAAATAAAGTACATCTTAGTATGATTTTAGTTATCATGTCTCATGAACTACTTAATGTGTATCAGTTATTAGTATGATTCAATATTATTAGATTATTACTGTTTCCAGACTATGCATGTTTCCGTTGGGAGTATACTTAGCATAGAGCGACCTTAGAGATGAAGATTTTCGGTCAGCATCTGTGGATCTTTAGTAGTTATCTCTAAGTCCTAGAAGTATATTTCACCATAGGATTTTCTCTCCGATAGACAGTAGTTTAGTGGATCCACATTAGCTCAGATTTCAAGTCCCTTATGATTGCAAGTATTGGACACCTTCTTTTCGGTGTGGGGGCAGTACATTGAACTCCACGTAGTAGCTCACATGGTTTATGTAAATTTTAGTATATTCCACAATCAGCCTTTCAGTTATTGCGTGAGCTTGTACTTGTGTATTTCAGATCAGTATACTTCAACTTCATGTTATTTTACTTTGTCATTGCATCAACGAATTTTACAAATTCAGTATGTTCAGATATTATGTTTCCTATGCATATTCCTCATACTCAGTACATTCAAAGTACTGACCACATACTTTCTGCCTATATTATTTGATAATATAGGTTCTGACATTTAGTATTCAACTTGTGGTTAGTACTATCTCTGATAAGCTAGCAATAGAGTTTGGTAAGTCTTCATCTCTCCGAGGACAACCCCATATGTTCCTTTCAGTTATTTACTTTTAGTTTCAGACAATTGGAGTTAGCTAGGGAGGGATTTATCTTAGCAACTCATATTAGTAAAGGCTTTAAGACAATTAGGTATAGATTCACCTTATGTTATTTCTTTCGGATATTAGTCTATCTCAGTCATATGGGTTTATTCATATATTTTAGATTTATCTTCCGTGTTTACATTCCAGTTTCTATTGAGCCATACCATAAGGTTAGTTTGGGGTCATTTGTGGCTCTAAGCATAGTGTCACGTCTAGGCGGTAGTCTCGGAGCATGAATCTTCCTCTTCTCTAAAAACTCTTGTTTTTCACCACCTTGATTGCGTCTTCCCAGAATAATTATTTTAAGTCTCTTTGTTTTTTTTCTGAATTATATTTTTCACATCAATCATCTTTGTCTCTTCTATATTTTCCTTCTTCTTTACTTTTTCTCTTCATCCCTCTTCTTACTATACACCTTTTCATTTGTTTCTTCTTTCTTGTACTCCATGGATAAATCGTAGAAATCGTATCCTCAACCCACTCGAAAGAGTTCTAAAAACAAAGGAAAATACATTGCATTTTATCCTATTTCAATGAACTCTGATTTTTCTGGTAAAATTTTTTGACTTTGTTTACTTCTCACATCCTCTCATGATTTAGCGATGACATTACCTCTAAAGACTCGATGGAAAAGTTTAATTTTGACCTCAACAGTTCTTGGATGTCAAAGTTAAATTCTAGACTTGTTTCAATGAAACATTATTTAATTCTCTCAAGTCCAAAATCATTGTGCATGGTAGGTCTGTTGACTTGTTTTCTCTTAACTTTCCTATCAAAGAACTCTTCAATTTTCAGAATTGGGCTAATATCTTCTCATATATCACAAAGTTACTTATGAACTTCTTGTGAAGCTATTTTATACTAATCTAAAGTCTCTTAAGTCAGGAGAATTAGAAACCTAGTTCTGAGCAAATGAATATTTCTCGACTGTGACATTTTTTATACTATTTTTGAAATTTTACTGATTTGGACTCTCCTCCCTCGTGCTAGGTCACACTCTACTCTTACTTTTCGTGATACTTCCTTCTCCGTTTTTCTCCTATTCAAGCACAAAATCATGTTAACTCTTTCATCTTAAGCTATATGCTAGACTCTGCCTCAGACTTCTCTAGTTTTCCCTATGCAATATTGATCACTTCATTTTAGATGCAAATAACATTTGTCTCGATGATTTTCCTCTACTTCTTATCAAATAATGTTATGACTCTAGAGCATTTGTCAATATGGGGTACATTCATTTCGATGATTTTTGGGCTATCAAATTTGATAATGTAGGACCTAGTTCTCTGTCATCTTCCAAATTCAAGTCTTATTCCTCGTCTGACTTCAAGTTGTTAAAAGATATTCTTGCAAAGCTCTCATAGATTAATGGAAAATTTGAATCTCTCTAAGACCTTTTTGTCGCCACTCATTTCCATCTAGAAAAAATAAAGGACGCGATAAAGAAGACATGTGTTGATCTTGCAAAAAAATTCCTCAAGAAATCAATCAAAGTTACAAATCGAATCCAAATCAGCACTAAGGGATTGCTACCACAATCTCTACTCAATTTGCTACCTTGAAATCTATCATTGTCAACAATATCCTAGCCTATTTTCTTCGTAATCAACATTGATTTTCTTTCCTATGACTGTCATTTTCAAAAAATATTTTTGCTATGATTTGCTAATATGTAATTGGGCATAAACTCACGGGATTTTTACCTTATTTTTGCTACTATAATCTATCTCATATGAATTACTTAGTATATTTGATTACTTATTTTTTCCTATTGTGTAACTTGATTGGTTACTATCTCATGTATGTATGTGTTTTTGCTCTGCTTTGTATATGTTTTTTTCCTTTTTGCTGATGTCAAGGGGGGATAAAGTTCAAATAAGAAAGATATCAAAATAACTAATATTTTAGTCTTAACAGAGAAGATCTCAAAAAGAGGAGCTATTCTTGAACTCAGCAAATCAAGGAGAATTTCAAAGTCACAAAAATTCAAATTCCTTATAATCTCTATTCTACTTTTAGCAAGCATTGTATTTCTGAGTGAATTATTCTGTAAGCAATAAAAAAAAAATTAATATGGTGAGCCTCTGTATGAAAAGATTAAAAAAAAAAAAGAGAAAGAATTGAGTGTAGATTTATGATCTAATCATCAACGCAATGTACAACTACAAATCACTCAAGAATTATAAGAGAACACTCTTGCAACCTCAAGGGACTAGACTAAGATCCATTTTGGATCTCAGCCAATATAAAAACATTTGGTATTAAATTTCATTTCTGCACTTTACTTATTAACTTAATTGTTTATTGTTTTTGTGTTTACCAGTTGACTGCTAAAACAATTAGTTGACTAAGAAAATTAAAAAGGGTCAATTCACCACGACCCATCTTGCACTTTCAGCTTCTACCCTCACCACTTATAGTGCTTGCGTAGATCATAAACAATATTTTTGACCAGATATTCTCTATTTACTTACGAAATATTAAAAAAAAAAAAAAAATCACTTATTTTTTTGCGAAAAACATTTTCATTCGTATCAAAAGTCTCAGAACAAATTCTCACTTCGTCCCATATTAGTTGTCATAAATAAGAAGGATAGTTTTACTGATTTAATTATTATATTTTTTAAAAACTTAACAAATTTGTCGACACTTTCAAAATGAATTAAATATAGAGGTAAAATGATAAAAAATTTAATTAATTCTATCTTAATTTTATAAACTAACAAGTATTTTAAGACAACGTAAACAACTTATATGGGACAATCATATTGGGGGTTTTGAAATGTTGACTTTCAAACTTGGCTCTTTTGCCTCTTTCTCAAACATGCCTTTTGCCATACTCCACTTTTCATTGGTATAATACCTAAATGTGACATAACAAACGACATCGTTTAAGATGACACTTCTTCTTAGTCAACAACAGAGATATTTCCTCTCTTTTGGTGCCCATTTGGAGATTTAAACAAACAATATATATATATATTTAAGAGCTCTCTTCTTTTCCAAATAAAGAAATATATGTTGTAAAAAATTTATTAATATTTTAAATCATATGTGTTTAGTTGTTTTATTTTCATACAAATTGAGGAGTTGACAAACCTTTGTTTGGATGAATCCAAGGTAACTGAGTGATTCCTCTGTCTTTGTGTCTTCAGATATATCATGTATGTATATAATTTCATAATGGGTCAATTTTATTTTTCTGTTATTCCTTAAAGATTCTTACTTTCTTGACTTTTTCTTGATTCTTGATTGATAAATGAGAAGACCCGTGTTCTTGTTCTTTCTATCATTGGGTGTGACAAACTATGCAAGAAAGAGTGTATCTTTGTTTCCCCACTAATGATTCAACTTAACCCTGTTGTTTCTTTCTTGGTCTAGCTGTATATTTGAGATGATTGATGCATTATGCATAATATAAGTTGCAAGAAAAAAAGAACAGATTTTGAGAAGGAAAATTAACTGCGACTGTGTGATTTTCTGTCTGTTATATCACTGTTTGTATTGCATCATATTCAGCTGAGGGGAAACAAGGGTAGTACCATTTTGCTTGTTTGAATGTCAAAGAAATTCTTTAGTAAGTTTTTTAGTTTGAGTCTAATTTGTGAAGCAGGAAATAAGGCAACAGAAATTTTTTTGGCTTCATTTTCCTTTAACTTGGTTTGAGTAAGTTGGTTGTTAGAGTTTGAGTATATCTTTGCTGCATCGCTTTCGTGCTAATAAATGGTAGATAGTGTTAATCTTTATGAGGTTAATAGACTGATATTGTACATAGATTGGGGCTAAGCAACCATTTCCTGATTCGAAGTTTAGCATGGACCTTCTTTAATTGTTTTGGCTAATGTTTAAGAATGTTATTGGCTGGAATAGTGCACTCTGGGTTCTGTTCAATAATTCTCAGTAGCAAAGGAAGTTAATCTTAGTTCCTTCATGTTAAATCTCACAGAATTTGATTTTAAGTTGCATTATGATATTTATGCTCTAGATCTGCGGTATCCAATATTTTATGCTTCGTGTATGATGAATTCTTATGGATGATGTCTAAGTTGCAGCTCTCTCTGCCACTTTATTGAAGCTTATAGCTTTAGTCATTTTCTTTTTAATTGAAGAAGTTTACCTGTGGCTGCCTCTCTGGATGCTCCTGATCCAGTTTTGGAAAGGGTTCTTATAGAGGACACTAAAAATAGTAGCCACGGCGGGGAGAGGAACTTCTTAGCTCATCAACCAATTTTGCTGGATCAGGTCTCCAAATCTTTCAGAGGAGAAGTAGTGAGCAGGTGCACTCAACTGATAATCTTCCTTTGTCTACATTTCGATTGTCTTTCATCCTCATCCTTAAAACCTAAAGGGGATTATTTCTTGTTGGTGGAGCTTGTTAATGATCCTTGGTGATAAGTTAATTTCTTGTTGGTGGAGCTGTTAATACTGTTTAGTGCTAATAAATTTCATTTCAACTTGGTAGTAATTTAACAGATAAGATAGCTGCTACTTTCTCTAGGTCTCTTAGAGTTTCAACTGATTTTACAACATACCTACTACATGAAGATTTATATTTTTTATATGTCGATATACATGGGCTTCAAATTATGGGAACTATAGTCCTTCTACCTCGTGCCTCACCTTTCAAAGCTGGTGTATCTTTTCCTTCTTCCTTGCAGTGGTGGCTGCAAACATTGTTTTCTACTTTGGATACAAGTCTTCATTTTGCATTATGTTCTTGAAATGCTGGATGTAGAATTGGAGCTTTCACTAATATGTTTCCTAGTAACTTCATGTGTATAAATTGCCTAAGGAACTGCATGTCTTAATGTTTGCATTCTGTTCTCTTAGTCTGTTTTTCTTCAATCAATGTTTGGAATTTCAAATGTGTGGAAGCATAATTAAGTAATCAAACGTGTGTTCTCTCTAACAACTTATGCTTTAAGATGAGATGGTCACACACTACAATATGGTATCAGAGTAGACAAGAGATCCTGGATTTGAGTATCCCCATCACCCATTATTATCATAAACAATTTCAACGAACTGGGACCATGAAAAGGGTCCGCAGATGAGAGGCATTTTGAATCATAATTAAGTAATTAAATGTGTGTTCTCTCTAACAGCTTAGGCTTTTAGATGAGATGGTCACACATTAAAAAAAAAATGTTTTATTCTGTGTTTCTACAGAATGTACATTGCAGTATGTTCTTTTGTGGTTCTAACTGAAATTTTGAATATATGTGTACCTGCATTGTTGCTTTAAAAGCCATTTTGGTCAGTAACTGAATGCCAAGAGAAATAGTATAATATTTTGCAGGGATTGAAGTGGAAATAAGAGTTGTAGTATCTTTCTTTGCTCTCTTTTTTCTTTTGGTGGAAAGAGGATAGTAGGGAAAAAAACATTTTCATGCTGTTTTAGCTCTCATCGGATCTGCAGATTCTAAGTGGTCCATTCTATGTGATTAAGTATATGTTGTGTCTCTGAATTACAGCTTAATGATGACTAGGTTTTCTCCTTAACTTGAGTTTCCTTTTTGCAGTACTAGGGACTCTATTAGGCAGTTGCCATTGGTTTTATCCGTCTGTTGTTTGTTTTCATGGTCATGTCACTAGTTTTTGACTTAACATGTCTCTAGCAGATCATCTAAAAATAATGGGCATGCCAATGAGAAGAAAATTTAAAAGTTACTGTGTTGATGTTATTTGTTTATGATTGCCTTCAGATCTTTTTCCATGAAGGCTGCAAATAGAAACGATGAAAATTTGGAAAATGGGATGTTGGAGAGAGACATAGAGAAGTCAGTACGCAGCAATAAAGTTGTTACAGTACACAACAAGGCCTTGCTATCTGGAGTTGCTTATTGTATTTCTTCCTGTAGCATGATATTAGTGAACAAGTATGTACTTTCCAGCTATGGCTTTAATGCGGGGATATCATTGATGGTCTATCAGGTACTTCCCAGTCTTTGTTATACTTTTGAGCTTATCAAGGTATAGAGGTAGGGTAATGACAAATAATTGTTGACCCTTTATTCAGAATTTTGTCTCAGTGGTGGTGGTTTCTTCCTTGAGAGTTTTTGGGATAATTACTACGGAACCACTCACTTGGAGGCTAGTCAGAGTTTGGTTGCCTGTTAATGTTATATTTGTTGGGATGCTTATAACAAGTATGTTCAGGTAAAAGATACTCCCTCTTCATGTTTGTCGTACCATGAATTTCATTATTTGAATGTGCCTATTGTTTTATTTACTGCTGGTTGCAGAAGTCATGCATTGCACCTATTATTGTTGGATGCACAGTTCTCTGAGATCAGTTTTTCGGTGTGATCGAGTTCAGCTGGGCCTTTATGCAAGATTATATTTATTGGGAGTAACAGATTTCTGGTTCAAACCTTCATGCAAGTGTTAGTTTTACTACTTCAAATTTTAAGGCCACGCTAGGTGTTCAAATGGTTTCTTTATTTGCGGGACGGTTCTTGATCCAAAATAGAAGGAAATTTTTGTCTAATTTGATGAAATAGAAACAAAATGGAAATGTGAATTCTCTGGAACAAGCTCTAGAATTAGAGGCATATATCTTTAGGGTTAATCTTTGTCTCATTCTTACTTGTTGACCTTGTCTTTTGCTGAGTAAGAAATTCTGAATATAGATTTCTTTCAGTAAATGCTGTTAGGTTCACCTTTTTGGGAATATTTTTTTAAAAAATTCTTTCAGTAAAAGAAGTCATCCTTGTCAAACTAGTGAACTAACTCAGTATAGTGTTCCCTTTTTTCCAAGACATCTAACAATAGAAGAGACTATTTTTGGAGCCACTTAGAGGAATACGCCTGGATTGATGAAATGAAAAGTTGATAGGCTCATCATCACATGATTCTTGGAACTCGACTTGTAGTCAATAACATTTACAATAAAATGTCTCCTTTTTCTTTGGTCTTGGCCTTCCACACATCAATAGGGAGCAACTCTTTGGCTCTACCCTGCTGAGTTTACTTTAGATGAAACAAAAGATGCTTATGATGTAGGTAATGATTCATGAACCTTAGAATTTGATTACACTACATGTCAAAAGTAGAAAAGGGTACAAAATAATGAAAATTATATATAAAAAAAAGGTATTTTAGTTTCAAGTACAGCTATTTGTGTTCTTTCTGCTTTACCATTTTCATTGCCAATTTCAGTACTCTGGCATTTTATATCCATACGATTCTGCAGATTAATGAATTTTTTAGCATAGAAGCTGTTTTAGTGTTTAATATTTAAAGCTGTGATTCTATGACTTGGCTGAATTACTTATAATTGTGTTATATCCTACAGTCTTAAGTACATCAACGTTGCTATGGTCACTGTCCTAAAGAATGTCACTAATGTGATAACTGCTGTTGGTGAGATGTATTTATTCGACAAAACGCACGATAACAAAGTTTGGACTGCACTTTTTCTGATGGTATGATAGTAGCTTAAAAAGAATTTTTCTTCACTGTTTTCTCTTAGTAATATCTATACATTCAACTTGTTCAGCAATTAGAAATAAATAGTAGTAGCTCTGCTCTTTCCACTTGCCCTTCATAGCACCACAGCTACTATCCTGGTATGTTTTTTGGGTGTGAGAGAGAGCAAGATAGCATGCATCAACTTGTCTGTAGTTGGTAAATGACAGTTATTACTCTAGGCTTTACATTATCTTCTTTTCACTTGACATAATACTCTGCTGTTATTTCGTTTTTGTTTTTCTTCTCTGTGTCATTAACACAACAATCTAAAAATAACTAGTACAACAGGATCGGAACTGTCTACTAATTTATTTTTTTCCAAATCTGCATCATATACATTACTTGTTCGTGTGTTAAGCACCGCATAAAGTTCAAGTGAAGTATGTAAATACGAAGTGTTACAGGTCAAGCAAATGCTACTCTATATTGCTTTTGATATTATTGCAGTGATTCTAGCCTCTCTCATCCCTGTGCTCATATAAAGTAATTTGTTAATGATATGTTTCGTTGCTTTGTATTCCAGAACTTACATTAGCATTCTTTTTTACCTTTCTTGTCACAATAAGAGTTTATAGCGCTACTGATTTTTCAGTAGACACTACTCAGAGTATTCGCTAGTAACCTAGTCCTCAGTCAAAGGCATGATGAATTTCATGAGGCGACCAAGTGGTATAAGCTGTAGTGAGAGAAAATGCAACATATGATAAGGAATAGTATCATCTTCGTTTTCGAGATTTACTTCTTATAACAGTGGTACTTTCTGGTAACTAGTGATATGAGTAGTTTTGTCATATAATACAAAAGTATTTGGAAGTTGGTCATGAACCCTAAATTCATCAAGTCTTACATCATTTGACTAAAGTTGCATATACTAGAACTAAATTTGAAATATTGTTCATTTATGAGATGACAGTTGTAGAGATGTTACACTTAAGTTGTGTTTGCGGATTATTTCAGCAGTTAGTTACACTTAAGTTGTGTTTTGCAGATTATTTCAGCAGTTACCGGAGGAATTACTGATCTTTCTTTTCATGCCATTGGTTATACATGGCAGATCATTAATTGTTTCTTGACAGCATCATATTCTGTAAGTACATCTTTCTCTCGTTGTGTTTCCTTTTCTGGGTGCTATTTTATCTGGCATTTGTTTCTTCTGGGAATATTATCTTTGTAAAATTCATGATTTTCGTTATAGTTGTCAGACATATGAACTTACGATAGAAGATATAGCTTAATCATACAATAACATATCCAGTGTAGTCCCACAACTGGGGTTTAGGAAGGATAATGTGTGTGCAAACCTTACCCTTATGTTGGAAGGTATGAACGTTGTTTCCAATAGACCTGCTGCTTGGATACTACTCAAAACAAAGGATAAAAATGAATAAATTACCTAAACATTTGTCAAAGATGATGACCTTTACCGGCAGTAATAAAGGCGCCAAAATATTCTAATAGAATTGGACATAACCATTGCAGAGTACATATAATACAGTTTTTGTGTGTCCACCATAACATGACCTAGATCATCAAGAATTAGATCTTGTTTTCCAACTATTTCATTGAGTCAAAATGCTCTAACCTAATTCCAGTATTATCAGAAGCAAAAAGCTCACCAACATGGGTTGTGGTGCAGTGATGTAAGTGCTCCATCCTTAATCAGAGATCTCAGATTAGAGCCCTGGGTATGAAGAAAATCTTGTTGGGAGCATCACCCCTAATGGACCCTGCAGTGCGCGATCGGATTTAGTCGCAGCTCCAATGTAGGCATTAGACACTGGATGGGAAACAAAAAAATGAAGCAAGTAATGCAAAAGAATTCTAAGGTCTGTTGGGGTTTTAAGCACAAATAAAGCATGGGTTTTAATTAGAAAAGGCACAAAGGGAAAAATAAATACATATATGTTATGAAACATAGACTGTATACTAAAATTAAATAGCAAGAAGAAAGAGATAGAGTAGTAGTAACTTTCTTCCAATATTCTTGTGTATTGTGCATATACAATGTAAGTTATTTATAAGTCTCAAGTAACTTGGAAAGCCAATTTTACTAGGAAAAATTGTGGGAAAAAGTCCTAGTGAAGAAAAAGATACAGGTATCTAGTAATATGCATTGAGAGTTGCCTCATTAAAAATCTTACCAGGAACATCCGGTGAGACAAAACATTGGTTAAGGAAAAAAGAGTGCAACACGTATTTACTTCCCCTAATGAAAGCATCACTTAATATCTCGAAGACGAGACGCATTTCAATCTTGTATCTGAACTTCTCAAAGGTTGAAAGCGGCAATGTCTTAGTGAACATATCTGCTAAATTATTACTTGAACGAACTTGTTGAACATCTATATCACCCTTCTTTTGAAGATCATGAGTAGAAAAAAAAAATTGGTGAAATATGTTTTGTTCAGTCTCCTTTGATGTATTTTCCTCTTAGTTAAGCTATATATGCAACATTGTTTTCATATAATATTGTTGGAGTATCTCTTTCCAAAGGAAGACCATATGTTCCTCAGATGTGTTGGATTATTGATCTCAACCAAACGTATTTTCAACTGCTTTATGAATACTATTATCTCTGCATGATTTGAAGTAGCAACTGTAGTTTGTTTTGTTCAATGCCATGATATAGTTGTACCTTCACATATAAATAAATAACATGTCTGAGAGCAGTGTTTATGTGGGTCAAAAATATATCCTATATCTACTTAACCTATTCATCGTGATTTGGACTCTTTTAAATAAAAGAGACCCCTATCAATGACCTTATTTTAGACCCATAAAAGAAATTCAGGTATCTAGTAATACGAATTGAGAGCTACCTAGTAAGGTTTTTAATGAGGTAGCTCTCAATGCGTATTACTAGATACCTGAATTTCTTTTCTTCACTAGGACTTTTTCCCGCGAGATTTTTTCTAGTAAGAATTCAACTAGACACACTATCTATTAATGGACATCCAAGGGGGAGTCCATGTCCATATGCACTAGTAGTTGGTGGATGTCCATGTCCATTTGCACTAGTTAATTTGGCTTTCCAAGTTACTTGAGACTTATAAATAACTTACGTTGTATATAGAAATATAAAAAAGAATTTTGGAAGAAGGTTACTACTGCTCTCTCTCTTTCTTCTTGCTACTCCCTTTGTCCCAATTTATATGACTTTCTTTTCTTTTTAGTTTTCTTTTTAGTTAGTCCCAAAAAGAATGACATGCTTATATATTTAGTAACAATCTAACTTTAAAATATCCATTTTATCCTTAACGAAATGATTTATAGCCACACAAACATCTATGACTTATTTTAGACCACAAATTTCAAACGTCGTTTTTTCTTTCTTAAACTCTGTTTCAAGTCAAACTAACTCACATAACTTGGGACGGAGGGAGTATTTAATTTTAGTATACCATCTATATTTTATAATACGTTCTCTGCACGAGGCTTGCTTTAGGGCTTAAGCGCGCCTTTGACAACACCGCCTATTTCTTTTTTTTTTTGAGTTCACCGAGAAAGCCCAGTTAAGCGGCTATTGGAAATATAAAATTAGAGATTTTTCTCGTGTTAATAGCTTAAAAGAATTCAGCTCATAGGTGAGACATGAGAGGGCATGTTGAAGACATTATTGATTTGATAGATCACTGTCCTGAGTGTTGTTTGTAACAAATTCAGCTTCTAATGAAGTAGAACTACATAGTTTAGATTTCACTGATATATCTCAAATTTATATGTGTGGTCCTATCCACCAATGTGATGCTGAAGAGATCTGACAGGAACATATCGGCTTGTAAACTTTAAATGCTGAAAATGTGTTATACAGTTAACCAAATTACCATAAAACCTCAATGTTACCATATCAAAAAAAAACAAAAAAAAACCATCATATACTCTTTATGTATTCTCAATATGAAACTAAATTGATGATACAGTCTTGATCTTGTAATGTCAATTTTGGTTTACACATATCCTACTGGTGAAAACAGTTAAACTTTGCTAACTAGAATGAGCAGGTCCAGCCTTTTAAGAAGAAAAAAAGAAACTTGTTGAAAAAAAAAGAGTGAGGATCCGAGACTGGTGCTTTTACAGTTAACATGATACAAGCTAGCGTTTATTGCATATGGTCTGAATGATTAATTCATAATCTTGTACGGGAAGATCTAACCTTGACAGTTTGCGACAAACTGCTCAAGTTGCAAACCTAAGTTCCTTATTTGGACAATTCTGAAGTCTCAAGACATCTGCTGAAAGATTTTAGTAAGGATAGTTTAGTATAGTTCTGTTCCCCTGTCATTGAGAATCAACTTCAAAGCTCCTTAATTGTTATCTTCTATAATATCAGAATTGAGAACTGATTATTATTCTATTCAAGGAAGGAGCGGGTTGCGGAAGTCGTTCATGTGATACACCCATTGAGATGAAGCCCATTTAAACTTGTACACTCAAGAGCCAAAGCTTGAGCTCAGTTTCTTTATGGTCAAATGCATTATTAACTTATCTCTTTTAAATATATGTAATTACATAAAATAGGTTTGTGGTAATATATTTTGACTATTCAAAATACAATTTTCTTGTTATTCATGTATAAAGATTACTAGTTATTCATATAATAGATTTAGTGTTACAGTCTAGGTAAATTATATTGAATGTTCGCAGCTAAATTCTTAAAATGCATTTATTTGAAAATGTCAATTTCTCTAATAAATATATAACTTAAGCTCAATTGTGACTCGAACTTGAGCTTTGCTGAATTCAAGCCTAGTTAGATTGTGTACTTGTCCCTTATTCCAGTGAGATAGAACTCGGCTATTTAATGTTCCGGTCGAGCTCAAAATGTCGAGAACTTGACTTGGCTTGATTTCTTTATAACACCTCCAATTCCTTTTGTCATTAATAATGGGAATAAGCAGCAGTTCTTCCGTATTGAGCTTCTTATCCTGTTTTTTTTTTGTTGAGGTTACATTTAATTTGATGTTCTAATTAGTCACTTGAAATTTTCTTCTTTTTGGGTACATCTTCTTCAATATGATGACCTGGTTCCCATTCTAATGTTTAATTTTTTAATTTTTATTGTTTTGATCTTCTGGTGCAGTTGACTCTTCGCAGGGTCATGGACACTGCCAAACAAGTGACTAAATCTGGGAACCTTGATGAATTCTCCATGGTCCTGTTAAATAACACGCTTTCACTGCCTTTGGGCATTTTGCTTATATTATTATTCAACGAGGTGGACTACCTTTCTAGAACGTGAGTTTTGGTTTCTTAAAGTAGCAATTGTTTTCCTCAATTTTTTATTTATCTCGTCCGTAAGTGGTTGCCTTTCTCTGACCATACACATTGCATGCCTCATGCCTATTGTTAAAACCTGTAATAGGTAAATGTTGGTGGATTGATTTCTAGTTGAAAGCCAATGTTGGCCTGAATGTTCTTAATCCAACTTTATAAATGTAATTCTATAATGGTTGTTGTAGAAGTTGAAAAAGCATAACTATACCAGTACAGATATAATTGATAACAATTGCTAACTATGTCAAATTTGAATAGGAAGAAGAGAAAGGAGGGAAATTTTCATATTTTGTCAAGTCTGTAGGAGTCATTTTTAATCTTCAGTTCTATATAGTGACAACAATAGCCCCACAGACTCAAAATGTTATAAAATATAACTGACTTAATAGTAGATTCTGAAAGGAGGCCTTGGAGCAACGGTAAAGTTGTCTCCATATGACCTATAGGTTATGGGTTCAAGTCATGGAAGTAGTCACTAATTCTTACATTAGGGTACTCTGTCTACATTGCATCCCTTAAAGTCACCGGACCCTGCATATATGTGGGATGCTTTGTACAACGTGCTGCCCTTTTTTCCCACCTAATAGCAAATTTCTCTGCTGCTCTTTACCTGCTGAGCTGTTCCCCAAAAATTACCCAGTTGGGCATAAGCCATCTATCTACCCATATGTATGCAGTGTTAGTTGTGCAATTACTAATTCCTTTGTGCTTCTCTCTTTGAAGATTGTTGTGCAATTGGTTGCTATTTTATCACAAGTGAATACTGTTTCATTGCACATTGAAGATTATGCTACATGTATCTTTATCTGCAGACCACTGTTACAATTGCCAACATTCTGGTTGGTGACAACCTTTAGTGGGTTATTGGGCTTAGCAATTAGCTTCACATCCATGTGGTTTCTTCATCAAACAAGTGCAACTACTTATAGGTATGGTTTTTTTCATGTGAGTTCATTATTTCATTTTTCTTTGAGTACTCTGATGTAAACATTTCCCTCTTCGATTTTTCTTTAACTTTTGGTTTCTGCAGTCTTGTTGGATCACTAAATAAGATACCTCTCTCTGTTGCTGGTATTTTCCTTTTCCATGTTTCAACAAGTCTGGAGAACTCTGCCAGTATATTATTTGGTGAGGGTTTACTCTTCTCTTTACCTTAGTACCTTTCTTAATCAAAGATTACGCTTCAATCCCAAGTAAGTTGGAGTTGGCTATATGAATACTCACTGTCCATATCACTTCATTTAAGCTGTAATCCCCCCCTCATTTATCCAGACTTGGGAGTTGAGAAAAAAAGTGTGTTGCATTTTGCAGGGCTGTTGGCTGGAGTATTTTTCGCCCGAGCAAAGATGCAGGATAAATCTCAAACTAGATCCTGAATGTCAAAACTAACACCCTTTCTTTTGTAAATTATGTCTGGTCTTGAATTGTAGAGCTTGTTGTATACTATAAACTATGACATGATCAATCAATTCAAGAGATAGATCAAGATTTTGCATTCATCAAGAACCTGTCTATTTTGATTTTAAGCTTTTTACTGTGCATTTTTGTATTTTACTTATTCCAATTGATCATATGATAAGAATGTGTAACCCCTGAAATCAGCATCACGCAAGTCTTCAAGGAGTTTTAAATAGATAAAGACTCTGTTTACTTCAACTGTGTTTAGATAATTAGGGAGCACAATTTTTTACTGCTAAACATGAAAATGGAAATATGAACAAAACTGTCTAAAATACTCCAAATAGAGTTTAAAAACAAATCAAAAGAAGAGATATAATTCACAACAACATCATACTTGATGCAATCCAACAAGTGGGGTCTGAAGAGAGTAACATATACGCAAACGTTACCCTAACCTTTGTGGGGTAGGGAGGTTTTTCTGATAGACAAAAGAAGAGCTATAAAGATAAAAATGATACATTACAAGATTCTTTGAGGACTTGATGCATATTTTTTGTTTGTCTAGAATGTCAAAAGTATACAGAAAACCAAGTTTTGATGGCAATTAGAGCTTTTTGCGTTGCTCACAGAGTAATATTTTCTCTGTGCTCCTTAAACTGTATAGTTTTCCAATCAAATGGAGCTGAAGAAACTCCATTCTCAATTGCCAACTCTAGTGATTAGTTGTAATCTCAAATATAACTCCTTCAAGATTCTTGATAATACGTCGAGTCCCAGAAACTTCATTTATCTGCAGACCATGCCGAATTGCTTCATTGATGACCATAGCATCCATGCTGCATAAGGAATGACCGTTTAGGCACACAGAACAAAAATGCATCAAGAATGAAATGAAAATGACTACAGTTGCAAGAAACATGTCAACAGTTCTCAAGATTAACACTTCTGCTGTCAAGCATGGACACCTAAACGATACACATGCACCATTGCATAGCATTAGTTGAAATAGCAGGAAACATATCTAAATGACCTTCCCAACCTTAGAGTAGTTCAAGATTTGGTCTAGAAACTCATGCAAGATAGGTAGCTAAGTAAAATAATGCAGCAAAGCTATTGATTACAGAATCCTATGAATCAAGCAAAACAAATTCTCTCTGTCTCCTGTTCAAGCACAACAAATTTCAGTATCTCCTCCATCTACAATTCTTTTAATTACAATTATTTGTTTCGATATCAATGGGATAGAAGATTGTTTGCTGGCTACTTAATATGCATTTTTATTGAGAATGAGAGAATCTATCTAATTAAGCCGGGATGATTTGCTTCATAGAACTAGTTCCTCTTCCAACACATTGGTTAACAACCTGTACAAGACTAGCGATCAACACTTCCTAACAAAGCTATACCATTTCATATGAATTATCTTTTGATACCTGATCATCAAAAGCTAAGAGTGGATTATTACTAATAGAAAAAAGATACTCATTCCTTTTTTTCAGATGCTAGTTGAAATTTTGTTGAATAAGATGGGACATATACTAGTATACATTTTCTAGACAATGAGAAGTCTATGAGTGAAACTTGCAGCAATAATTTCTCGAATATCATTTCCACATTTGGGAGTTATCCACACATTCAACAAAGTCCTTCAAAATCTTGCAGCCAACACATAATCATGATCAAAATAACCAAGTCAGTGAAGGCAACTTACACTTTTGCTCGTGAAACATAGGCCAAAATAAATTTGCATTTCTTCTGGTCACGATCTCTAAGTAGCCGCTCAACAGTATCAAAAAGCAAAGGAACATTTGCCTGCTGAAAACTTAAAGCTTGTCAAGGGATACACTATTCTTTCTAGACTATGATATCATCCAAATGATGATAAAGTAACAAAAACTAAGTCTATAATTCAATCATTTGTCAGTTAAGACAATCTAGTTGCTACTAGGTTTCAAATGTAGATCAGTTGATTTGACAACAGGTGTCTTCAGGTGCCAAGACAAGGACAGAGAACCAGAATACTTATCTGACTTTAAAAGACATCCAAGGAGAGAATGATATTCATATCTTATAGGCCTGATGAATTGGAATTTTTTAATATTACTGAAATGAAAGGAGCTAGTTCATTACTGCAAAACATTTCCAGATACATGGCATCCAATCTGAAAGACAATTTCCAACCTCAAAGACTGAAAGAGGAATGGGTTAGTTCATCATAGGCTGGCAATTGGCAATTTGGCATGATGTTGTTAGCTTCAAATTAAGTCAACACATAACAAATAGAGAACCAATTAATGCAGTAGGAGAAAAATCAACTAGGATATAAATGTCAGCTCCAAGAACTAAATCAAATCCTTCTGGGTGCTCCTGTAATATGCAATTCAGCTGATCAGAGCTACCCCATTCCAGTTTCTCAGCTTTTAATTCTGCATCAAAGATAAGTTAATGAGACATGACCTTATCGAAAATGGCATTTGATTCCTCAATTGTTCACACACCTGTACAACACATAGAATCATCTGAAGATTCCTGCAGCTTTATGTTTTTCTTCAGAATCTGGAATGAGAGAAATATATTAGAAGGTGAACTTGCAACACATTCCTCCAGCAAAATTCAATTGCTCAACCTTGCCTTGAGAACTTCATCATTATGATCTGTCATCACTACTCCACGACAGAATCTACTGCAGAGTACTCCAGTTATACCTGTAAATAGGATGCAATCAACTAATTTTATCTTAAATAAAATAGAGAAAGAGAAATGATATGGAAAGTAAAATAAAAAGAAGTACACACATGGTTGCCTTGGGAGAGGAACTATATGGTGTTATTAGAAGTTACAATTGTAATAGTTTAGGAACTTTATTCATGTCTCCCGTCAAAAGAGGCCTTTAAGTTAAATAGTCTCTCTTACTTAGCTCATTTTCACACTTCAATCTTGTCCTTGGTTTATTGAAGAAGTTCTCCCTCCCAATAGTCTAATCCACATATAAAGGTTTATTCTGAATCAACTTATATAGTAATACCGACTGAAAATATCAAAACATTTGCAAAAATTTGTGGTAATGTTGAACTCAATGAACACCTTAAGACAATTAGGCCCCAGACAGTCTTTAAAGTAGAAGCCAGTTCAAGTAAAGCTTCAGGCTTTGAGTAAAGAAGAGGAAGAGGTCCATCACATTTCACATCAGACTAAAGGGACAAAAGCTATAATGGAGCCAGATCAGTTACCCACTTTATAACTTCAAAAATGTGGCTGAATTTTCTTATATGTGAACATTTCGTCTTCCGTGTATGTTCCTTATCTTTCTCATCAGAATGGAATGATCTTTTTGAGGTTGCATATTTGTCATCGACCAAGTATGTTAATCAAGATCTTAAGCAAGCACCCAATATGATCTTATATGTGAACAATTCCCTTTCTTATATCATTTTGCTATCTTAAACTTCAAAGGAAATAATAGGTGGACATGTTATGCTTCTAGTACTATCTAAGACTCTAAGCCATGTCTTTTTCTTCTACTCGTATCTCATTAATTTGGACATGACTTTCATGTGATTTCCTCGAGTTCCCATCTCAGCCAAATAAGTTCACAACAGTTGAGAAAAGAACCATCACTCAAGGTGAAATGTTTCTCTTGGTTGGTGTATAAAGGGGCTTGTCTTACGCAAAGTAACCTTCAAAGAAATATACAACTTCGCAACAGATGTGTTTTGTGTGAAGGGATGCATGAGGACAACAACCATCTCTTTCTTCATTGTGAATTGAACTCTCAGATTTGGGACTTTGTTTTAATAATGATGACCAAACAGAAGACGACACATAAATATATAAAAATTGATTGTGATTTCAGGAATGATACTAACCAACACCAGAGCCTAGTTCAATGACAGAACATCCTTGAAGCATGTTAGCATTCTGTGTAAGATAATCATTCATCAGCACTGCCCCAGGCCACACCAACTGTCCTGTCAAATCAAAATCAGCTGTTCCACAGATAGTCAGCCTACAGTTATTAATTAGGTAATATTAATGCAAGCATGGGGACATCAAAAATTATTTGAGGAATTTAAAGTAAACAAATCAAACTAAGAAAAGCTTTTGGTAAAATTTGGTTTTGCAGTGCTAGGTAAAATTCTACAAATGGAATGGGAGAGAGCTAACAAACTATTTGCACGCATTCATCAACTACACATCATCATTGGTTTATTCAGACTGGATTATATTATATCTGTGACTCTTAATCTTTTGAGAATATCCCCCCCACCCCACCCTCACCTCATTAAGAGAAGTGTTTCCTTTTGAGAAAGTTATACTCAGGATTAAGTATTGGGTGAAATATAGATTTGGCTCAGCACGTTCACTTTTTAGCAGATTTTTAGTGCATTTTGAGATATCCACATGAAATACCAGTACACATGTCTTATCTATTTCACATGGATACACTGAGGCAACCAATCCTTGCACCAAATTAAGTTAGCTTCTCAATGTAGTTTTCATTTTCTAACAAAGGCTTAGGTTTTCTCTTAGTTGAGGTAAGATAGCCCATCCATCCTTGATTTTTCAATGCTCAATTCCTTATCAATCCAAAATCCATCAAGTTGAAGCCAAGAGATCCGGAAAGCTACCGAAATGAAGAGCGACAGCTGAGAAACACATATTATTTGGAGGGCCAGCAGCAATGCAGCCCATTCTCAGAATGATATATTGCCTAGACGCAACCACATATCAGCTATGCTCAAGGTGAAAATCCAATAGGTCAGGTCAGGTATTTGAGGAAGTTTTCGACAGAGGAAAAGGAACATGAGTTTTCAGACAAACAAGCATAACAGAAACAGAGCTATCCATGAAGCTACTACTTCCTTGACTAAAGTACAACAAATCCAACTAACTTTGCTTGCAAAGAAAGAAAAGGATATGGCAACAAATAAACAGCTGTTTCTCATAGTGTCATATAGTTCCAAGGATTCCTAACCTTAATTAACCCATCTTGTTAACTATGGTAGTGCTAGTCCTTATAACACTGGTTTTGATAAGTAGAGGACCCTAATGAGGAAGCAACCCCTACCTATGACGGAAAACATAAAATATTTATATAAGCATGTGTAATAGATCAACCTGATAATTATGTATGTCACAATAGAATTAGCATTCTCAATAACTCCCCCTCCCTTCCCCCTTTGTGCCACATAAGCCTTCCTAACCTAGAAAACATTAAATTTGCTCCAGTTCTCTCCATTTTAAGATCTCATATAGTTTAATTTGTTGGAGAGTGTTTGGTAGTCTGTGTAGAGAGAAGAATGAGGATGGTTTTTTGTTGCCCAACAAATGAGAAATGAACCAATGATGATACTTTACTAGATATATCATATTCTTTAAAGAAATCTCTTTTTATTTGAACGTGAGTACAGGTATGTCTCTACTTCCCCTTTTTTTCTTTGCTCAGAAATCATGTGATTCAATATTATAGGCTTGCTAGAGACAGTTAAATAACTGAACTACGTTATCAGAACTCAACTAACCACAACTGTGAGATATTTCAAATTGATGTGGCAAAGAAACAAAAGAAGGGGGGTTAATTAGGTTGAAACAAGTCCTCAACAATAATACAGAAGAGGAACAGAGAGCACCCCACCATCCCTAAGAACATCAATCTTTTTAAAGGATAATCTGTGAGCTCTGTAGGGACAATGATCAACGTTTTCATGACATTAAGTCCAACAAAAACATAAGCACAAGAAACTGACCAAATCGAGCATCACCTAAGGTGTAGAATAATCTCTAAGCATACTCAGTTCTGTAGGATTGAGATGCTAAAAGTAAAGGCCTTCTGACTAGACATCCCTGAATTGGAAGAACTGATATTGTCGGAAATCTTGTTCACCAGTCTTTGTCATTAAAGTAGAACCTTAAATAATATGCTAAGTTCAATAGACCAAGCTCAGACAATTTCTGCCTATAAAGTAGTATAGAGAGCTCGGTGAACTCAAGCATCAATAGCATGCCTCCGTGCTTAAGGACATTATTGCCCCAACTCTAAGAACCAGAAAGGTCCTCCAAGCCAGCAAGTGCTCAAGATCAAGAAATGCAATGAAAGCATCCCCTCCCTATTACCTACAACCTTCAAATATGTAGATACAAGCAACCTCTACATACAAAGCTTCCTACATATTTCTTTGACAAATACCCAATTACCCTTTGGTGAAATTTCTAGAAACATGAAATCCAAGGTCTACAAAGATTGAAGTTCCAAAATGTCAAAAGCAAAGGAAACACCTATACTAGAAATACAACAAATAAAGATGACGATAAAGAATACAACAACAACATACCCAATGGTTTGGAGGGTAGAGTGTACGCAGTCCTTACCACTACCTCTAAAAATGTCACACATTTCTTAATTTTCTACAAAACCCATAAGGAGATACATGACTTGTTTCTTTTATTCAATCTATTATATAATTATACTCACATATTTCGGTAAAAATTGCATTAAAGCACCCTCTTTGTCCTCATAAAACAAAGAAGAAAAAAAAAGAAAAAAAAATTTCCATTCCCCCCGTGCTAAGATTGATTCTTATATCATCAGTTTACAAGATTGTGAGACAATCCCAAGATCCCACCCCCAAACAGCACTAGTTAGTGTTTTCACAAGCTACACAAAGTAAAAATTAAAAAAAAAAAAAAGACTTACTTGAAGAAGATTGGAGGCAGTAAAGCTGAAGAACATGAGACCCAAATGTAAAATCTGTAATCTGGTAGCTGCAGAGAGTGAACTAAACTCATTTCAGTATACAACAAAGCACAAAATTGTATGTACATGTACATATAAAAAAAGAGAGAGAGATGCCCTACTCGTCATTGATGAAGAAAGATTCGTCTAAGCACACTATATCATCTTCTTCATTTTCTTCTCTACTCATGGTTACTGTCTTCCCTCTAAGCACACAACCGCGCAGTTGCCAAATTCGTTAGAAAGCTCTTTTCACTTAATTTTGTTCTTTTGGGCTATGAACCTTCCCTTTCAATGTCCAATTTGATGGGCTTAGTTTTGAATTTGGGCTAATTTGCAAAAATACCATATTTTAGGAAAAATTACTTGGACGAGTATCTTTTAACAAATAATTATTGATGTTAGCTATACCTTTTATTTATTACCATTTTTAGCAATACTATGTCAAATCTACAATATGTATTAAAAGTGAATTATGTATGCAATATATATGTATTATAATTGTTTTTTAAAATATATTATGCTTGTTTAGTAAGAAATTGACATATTGTATTATAAGTGTATTAAAATATGTAATAAATATATTATTCATCAATAAAACGTGTATTCTATGTGAATAATAAATTGTTCTTTGTAATATGTATTAAAATTGTATTTGGTTTGAGAAATAAAATTGAGAAAGAACCTTAATTGAAAATCAATTGTGATTTATGGGGACCCGCTCCTGTCGAATCTTCCCAACATATGAAATATTATGTCATTTTTGTTGATGATCACACGAGATATACATGGATTAATCCACTGAAAAAGAAATCTGAATTTTTTGGGGTCTTTGTAAAATTTCAGAAAATGGTGGAAAAACAATTTTCTAAAGAGATTAAGATTTTTTAGTGTGATGGAGGTGGTGAGTTTATCCAAACAGGCTTTATCAATCATTTGGAAGATTATGACATTGTGAGACATATTTCATGTCCTAACACACCTGAACAAAATGGAGTTGCAGAGAGAAAGCATAGACATATTGTGGAGATTAGCTTAACTCTACTACTTCATGCTAACCTACATTTGTTTCTATGAGTTGAGGCTTTCCTCACTGTAGTATTCCTAATTAATAAGTTGTCTTCCTCAGTCCTAAAGATGGTGACTCGATTTATTACGTTGTATGGGGAACAACCTGATTACAATAGCCTAAAAGTATTTAGGTGTAGATGTTTTCCATATATCAGGGTAGCAACAAGTTCAGTCCAAAGACTTACTTTTGTGTGTTCATAGCGCACAACAACTTACACAAAGGATATAAATGCTTTCATCCACCTACAATGAGGGTCTACATATACAGACATGTTGTGTTTGATGAAAACACATTACCCTATGTGTCTCCAAATCAATCTCAGACTAACATTGATATCTCACCTCACCTTGCTACTTTTGTTAAATCTTTCTCTAAACTGCAGGCACATGATAATCCTGATTCAGGGAAAGTACGGGCTGCTAGTACACACGTTAATGGTGATAATGTTGCTACTACTCATATACTCCTTGATGATGAAAGTACCATTGACCTCTCAAGTGCAGGATCAGCTATTGAGAAACAGGTTGAATGTGATGATCCATACAGTAGTATTGAAGCTCCATCTGCAAATTTTGGATTTGCTAATGGCAGTAAGGAAAAGGTTGTATTTACAGGTCCAGTCAATGATCATCATCAAACTACTTTAGTTGATGTACCTGTTTACCATCAATCTGACAATGCTACACTCTAGTCAACTACTTTGGTTGATGTACCAATTGAGGCACTTCCTGCACCACAAGGACATCATATGATCACTAGACACAAGGCGAAGGAACACCACTTATCACTTGTTGCTAGCAACAACAAAGACATTTAGAGGGAACCAAATACTACTAAGGAATCACCTAAGTCACCTCATTGGCTTGCAGCAATGCAGGAGGAAATCAATGCTTTACACACTAAATTTGGTTGGCTCAAAATGGGTGTCAAAACCAAATTAAAAACTGATGAAACAATAGATAGATACAAGGCCAGACTTATGACCAGGGGATTCTCTCAGCTTGAAGGCATAGACTTTGAAGAAACTTTTAGCCATGTGGTTAAAGTCCCAACTATTAGAGTAGTTCTATCCATTGCCATCAGCTCAAGGTGGGAAATTCAACAACTCGATGTCAAAAATGCTTTTCTCCATGGGTTCCTACAAGAAGAGGTGTACATGAGTCAACCTCCTGGATTTATTGATCCCAAGTATCCTCAACATATGTATCTACTTAAAAAGGTATTGCATGGTCTTAAACAAACACCAAGAGCCTAGTTTGATAGGTTTAGCATGCATCTTCTACACCTTAGCTTCATCTGTAGTAAGGCAGATTTATCATTATTTACATTGCAAGCTCACAAAGGTACCATATTTCTCTTGTTATATGTGCATGATATTATTATTACAGGTAGTAATCCATCTCATGTCTCTAAGTTAGTTTGCCAACTTGGGAGAGAATTTGCCATGAAAGATCTTTGTCCTTTACACTTCTTTCTAGGAGTAGAGGTTAAGTATTTTGATGGGGTATCCATTTAAGTCAGAGTAAGTATGTTGTTGAGCTGCTGGACAAGACTGCAATGACTTTGGTAAAGGTTGTAGCCATTCCTTTGGCTCAAAAGCATGGTTTACATGAAGCTGTGGAAAGCCTGATTGATGTATCTTTTTACAGAATGATAGTAGGGAGTCTTCAATACTTGACACTCACAAGACCGAATATTACTCATGTTGTGAATTTAGCAAGCCAATTTATGCAAAATCCAAACAGTGAACATCCTTAAAGGGTGAAAAGGATTCTCAGGTACATCAAAGGTACTTTACACTTTGGACTCAGAATTATTTCACAATCACCATGTAGGTTGTATGAATACTCAAATGCTGATTGGGGAGGTTGTACCACCACTAGGAGATCAACTACAGGCTATAACATCTACCTAAGTGCAAACTATATTTTTTGGACTTCCAAGAAACAGTCCACAATTGCCCAATCAAGTGTTGAAGCTGAGTATAGAGCACTAGCTTCCACTGCAGTAGAGATGACATGAATCATATATCTACTTCATGACCTTGGGGTGTTTCATCGATCTGTACCTACATTGTATTGTGATAACATGAGTGCCTTGTACATGACAACTAATCTAGTTGTGCATGCTAGAACCAAATATGTTGAAATGGACTATCATTTTGTTTGTGAGAAGGTGGCCAGAGGACAACTTCTTACTCAGTTTGTGAGGTCTAAGGATCAGTTAGCTGATATTCATACAAAAGCATTAACCAAACAGGTTTTTGCTGAGTTTCTTAGCAAGCTAGGAGTTACAGTCCCTCCACTCATTAGCTTAAGGGGAAGTGTTGAAGGAAGCTGATGGAACATGTTCGACGAAGTTGACTGACGAGTTAGAGTTAGAGTTACATTAGGACTAGACCACTAAATCCTAATTTATGTACAAGTCTATATTTTGTACGATTAGTTGATGTAGTCGACTAGGATAAGGTGTAAATAATATATTTGTGTTGTATTAGGATTCTTAGTGTAGCTAGTATAAGACTTTTCTCCTGTATAAGGAGTATGTAACTCAACCATTCAATTACCAATACAATCCTTGATTTCTCTAATCCTAGTCGTGAGATTTTTACAGATATGTTTGATCGATACACGTGTATTGTTAAACATTTATTGTTTTGGAATAAATGATGGCCTTTATTTACTAAAATATTGACATATTGACATTTTTAATAATTATTTTAAAGTGTAGATGTTTTTAATAATTATGTTAGGGGTTTTGACTAACTTGCTATTTCTTCCATATAATTTTGATCTTTAAAAAGTGAAAATGTGATTATACACACACACACGCATATATATATATTATTTCCTTAAAAACATGAACTTCAAACTTGAATGTTAAATTACTATAATATTCCTAACATAGGTTGTGACTTTTCCGATAAGCTGTGACTTTTTTCAAAAGGTTGTCATTTTTCGGTGAGTTGTAATTTTTTCAAAGGGTTGTGATTTTTCGATGAGTTGTGACTTTTCCAAAGAGTTGTGACTTTTCCAAAGAGTTATGACTTTTTCAATAAGTTGTGACTTTTCCAAAGAGTTATGACTTTTTCAATAAGTTGTGACTTTTTCAAGGGTTGTGACTTCTCGAAAAAGTCATGACTTTTCAAATAAGACAAAAAAAATATTTGTTCATACTAACCTTTGTTGACTATAAATAGAGGAGCTTCCTCTCAATTTTCCACCACATTTTTTTTTTATCTTCTACTCTTCTTCTTCTTGCATTTTGTGTGATTTATTATTGTTGAGTGAGTTCGAAGTTTAGCGGAATATGAGGTACCACTATTCTGATAAAGTAAGCCGTTCTATCCTAAGAGGGTATATTCCATAACTCGAGTACTTGAGGAAAATAATTTTGATGATATAATAATTATTTTTTCGCTTAATATATGCATTAGTATGTAATGTTCCAATATACGAAGTTAACATGATGTAGTCTAAATTCATTTGTTTTTTTAACAATTTCTCCTGTGATGTAGATATATGCTTCTGAATATCTTTTCCAAAATTTAGAGAATTGTCACGATTTGTTTTTGATGCGCAAGACAAAAGAATGACTTTATTTATCAATGTTACTTATGTGATTTAGACTCTTAGGAAGTTTGCGTCAAAATAGTTATTAGAAAATAAACATTGCCCTTTTATTTTACTTATTTACTATTTCTTAATATTTCGGTATTTTGGACGAATAAAAGTTCATATTACTTGTAATAATGCAAATTGAAGTTTGTATTAGCTTAATTTTTATTATTTATTTAATAGCTAATTTTATGAAATAAACATTTTCATTAATGCAAATATATATTTATATTTGGGTAGATATTTGTATTTAAATTAAAGTATTATATATGTCACAAATGTTTTATCAAGTTAACAAGATCTTCTAACTTCAAAATATATCATTTAAAAATGTTCCGAGTTCTCTTTTTTTTTTTTTTAAATCTCACAACAAATGTGAAAATATGTGAATATATAAAATGTAGTAGTTCTCTTCACGTGTTCATATGACATCTAAACAATTTAACATGGAATACACATGCAAAGCACATTTTATTAGATGACAAGAAAAATACAAAACAAATAATGTCTATAAGGTAATATTAAGTGAGATAAGACTAACT